TGATCAGATCTTTTGCATTCGTCAGATACTAGAGAAAAAATGGGAGTTCGGAAGGACCGTACATCAATTATTTATAGATTTCAAAAAAGCCTATGACTCTGTGAAGAGAGAAGTGTTATATAATATTCTTATTGAATTTGGTACACCAAAGAAGCTAGTGAGTCTAATAAAAATGTGCTTAAATGAAACCTGTAGCAAAATTCGTGGAGGTAAATATTTATCTGAGTCATTCTTCATCAAGAACGGTCTAAAACAAGGAGATGCTTTGTCTCCCTTGCTCTAGAATATGCCATCAGGAAAGTCCAAGATAGGCAGGAGGGTCTGCAATTGAATGGGGCATATCAGCTATTGGCATATGCTGATGATGTTAATTTATTGGGTGATGACATAAATACAATAACGAGGAACGCAGAAGTTTTACTAGAGGCTAGTAGACAGGTGGGGCTAGAAGTAAATTCAGAATAAACTAAGTACATGTTAGAATCTCTTTGTCAGCAGACAGGCGGACAAAATTATCTTAGGGTGGCTAATAAATCCTTTTAAAGTGTTACAAAGTTCAAATATTTGGAAACAACAATAACAAATCAAAATGATACTCATGAGGAAGTTAACAGGAGACTAAATTCTGGAAATGCTTGCTACTTCTCAGTTCAAAATATTTTGGCTTCCCGTCTGATTTCTAAGAACCTGAAAATTAAATTATACAAAACAATAATTTTACCTGTTGTTTTGTATGGGTGTGAAACATGGTCTCTCACTCAGAGGGAGGAACACACATTGCAGGTGTTTGAGAATAGGGTGTTGAGGAGGATATTTGGGCCTAAGAGGGAAGACGATGGGGCGTGGAGAAAACTGCATAATGACAAAATTAAAAATTTATACTCCTTCCCCAGTATTGTCAGGGTGATTATGTCGAGAAGAATGAGATGGGTGGGGCATAATCCGTGCATGGATGGGACAAGAAGTGTGCACTGGGTATTTGTTAGGAAGACTGAGGGGAAGAGACCGCTGCGGAGACCTAGACGTAGATGAGAGGATAATATCAGTCGGGATCTATGGGAGAGAGAAGTTGAAGGAGACTGGATTTTGTTGGCCCAGGACAGGGTCCGGTGTAGGGCTTTGTTTAATTCGGTGACAAACCTTCAGGTTTGGTACGCCATCTAGTTAGTTTAGTAGAAAATTGCAGTGTCAAGCTTTGTAATCTACACAATCCACCAATATTTTTAGCAAGATAAAATTAAGAAGGATGTAATGTGCAGGATATGTCTTATGGTTGTGGGGTGGGGGTGGGGGGGGAGATAAAATGAGGACAAATTTTAGTTGAAAATTCAAAAGGGAAGAGTCCACTCGTGGGAACCAGGTGCAGATATGAAGATGATATAAAATTATTACAAGTGGTTATACAGAAACAGGGTGGAAGAAGTGGACTGATTTGTCTGGGTCATGATGGGGTTCAGTGAAGGGCTCATATGAACATAATAGCATGCACCTTGAAGAGCTACTTATTGAACACCCTCGATGTTTGTTAAACGTTGAATTTTTAAACAGTCTCAGTATATAATGAGTTCCTTATACAATATGCATGAAATAAATGTATACATAGAATACAGAGCCAGTCTATATTCAACCTCCTCACCAATTCAACTCCGGGCTGTTTTAACTAAATTTCATCTTGCAGATATACACTAAAAGTTGTCTCATTTTAAATACTTTTACAATGTGATAAGCATTTAATAAAACACAAGGAGAAATATCTTCTGATTCTATCCAGTGAGACTGATACCAAAACATATTTTTCTAACAACAGATTTGTATATGCAATATATGAACATCAAGGCCAATCAGATATGTAAAATAGCAAACAACATGTGAGAGATACTATTCCACCTAAGTAACTGTGACTCACCAGTCTTCATCATCATCATCATCTTCGGTCTTATTCTCCAAGTTGGGGGAAGACTGTCCTGCTTTATCACCTGACTTTTCACGGGCTTTATCTTTTGCAGATGACAGCTTCTTTTGGAACTTGGCCAATAATGATAATGTAAACTGTTCTCTTGATGAACCTGAAGATACACTAGTTCACTTAATGTAGTTAATTAAAACTATCTAGTTTGCATCAAACTTCACCATAGGCACTACAGATATTGCAATATATTATCACGCTGAAGTAAAATTTCCTTACTTCAAGTGTGTGTGCATGCACCATATTTGCTCGTGTATAACACATACACTTATTTTTATGCAAGGAAGCCCCAATTCTTCCTACTTTAAATATATGTTTCCTCTATTACACATGCCCTAAATTTAATAAGGAACAAATAAAAAAGTGTGTGTTATATACAAGTAAATACAGCACTGGTATGTAAGCATAAATGTAAAAGAATGTGTGTGTACATTCAATCATGTCAATTACTGTTGTTTCTTCAACCTTCAGTTGTGTTACTGACAGCATCCCAGCCCTATGATTTGGTCAGGGACATTAGAACACATTAATATAAAACTTATTTGCATTGCATGCAAGAAAGCATATTTTGCCATTATGCCCTTACCTTTCTCAGGCATCTGACTCTTCAGCTGTTTATATTTTTCTTGTTCCTGTTTGTAAGCCTCAATTGCCTCATTTTTTGCTACTTCACTTTTTATTTCAGCTTTTTCTTCCTTTTCCTCCACTTTTCTCTGTAATTCCCATTTTAGTTTCTGTGCTTCTTTCTGAATATCATCCCTGATGAGAACAAATTTACTTATCTCAATGAACAGATCAAAATAGACCCGAAAGAAACAATCCACTGAATAAACAATTATATTAACCCTTCAAAGTTTAGTAGTTCCACCTGCTTCAACAATCAGTAACACTTTATTTTGTACTAATGGGTTTCATATAATTGTCACTGTGAGCAGTGATTATTTCCTTAAACAGCAAGAATCACTACATCTTTGTAATTGTGAAGTGTGGTGTTTTCTTTGTGGTATGAACTGAATCGTAAATATTATTTAGACAAGCTTTGGAGTCCTTCCAGGTTTCATGGATATCCATTAATTTTTTCAAAAGTTATTAAGGGAGGACACACACAGACAAACACGTGAACATGATTCCACAAGCCTAGCTTTCCTTATAAAATGAAAACTGAAATTAAATTCATAATAAAATTATGAACAAAATACATTCAGAAAACATCTGCTGTCATTAAATTGGGAATAGTTTGCTTTTACTTATCATTCAAAACAAGAAAGTTGAAATCTTAATTCCACATATCAAAGAGGCTGACCAAATACACCCTTATGGGATGGCATTTCAAAATGTATTTTGTTTATGTCTTAAGACTATTGGCTGCCTACGTATATGAAAGAATAGAGCAATGCAGAATAAGCTGACCAGAGATTCATTAAATGGCATGATCACAGAAACTTGTATATCACTTCTGATAATGCACATTTAGGAGGTATACAAGTAATTTTCTAGAAACCAGATTATTATTATTATCCCATCTCTCCACCACTTTATGGGGTATGTACTTCTATGTACCCGAGACAGACCTTGTCCCTAAGGTACATAGGGCAGCAGCTATTTCCGGGATACATTTTGTTTTTAATATGTATTACATGTATTATATAATTTTATTTTACGACAGCGTCTTTCGAATGATGTATGAAGTTCCCAAAATGGCAGTTTTCTGAAGTTCCCTGACGTCGTGTTCGCCCGGAATGTTGGCCAAATATTTCCTGAGCGACCTGGAGACAGTTCCTGTTGCCCCTATAACTACTGGAATTATTTTTGCTTGAACCTTCCACATTCTCTGTATTTCTATGAGAAGGTCCTTGTATTTCAATATCTTCTCTGCTTCCTTCTTAATCACATTCTTGTCAGTCGGTACTGCTATGTCAATTAAGAGGCAAGTTCCTTTTTTGTTTCTGATTATTATGTCAGGTTTATTATTTGGGATGGTTCTATCTGTTCTGATTTGCTGGTTCCATTATTATTATTATTATTATTATTATTATTTATTATTATTATTAACTGCAAATGGGTTTTTACCAGGTGGCAGTGGTGCTACAATAAGACACAACAAAACAATAAGACACAAAAAACATAAGACACAACGAAACAATAAGACACAACAAAACAACACACATCACACAAAATGACACACAACACTCTAAAAAAAATCATAAGTTTATAAAACCATAGGGCACAAGTATTTAAACACAACAGATAACCTAAAGTAGATAACTTTAAAATAAATACCAACTAGACATAAGACAGTAACAGTAATGAAATACATACATCATGAACTGATGCACTCACATTTCATCAGGACATTCTCTTCTCTTCACGTCACTAAACTTCTGAAGCCTTCCCATCTTCACCCCGATTTACCTCCCGTCACCTCACTTCATATCACTTACTTCACTGCACCCACCCATGTACAAGATTTTAAAACGCAATCAACCACAAGTGCCTTATACCATGTCTTATTTTATCAGAATACATGAAAGAGCTCAAAATGTTTAAATAAAAGTCAACGTACTTCCTTAAATAAAGTGTTTCTAAAAATGAATTAAAGACAGATGATAACAGATGGAATGCTCTTGGTTCTACTGAAAACAGAGAATTTCCTGTGAATGAAAAGGCTGCACCATGAAGTTTATTGTTAATTAATCATCATATTCATCAAGTATTAGGCCAAGTGGCCTGTTACGGTTAGATATCACTGGCCACAAAAGGAGAGAATGTAAAGTCACCTTTCACAGACTGGTCCGCGCCGTCTGAGGCATCATGCTTCGGACCGGTGATACAGAATGCGTGCTGGTTCGAGTTTTGGGGAAAGAAATTTCTCATGAGATTTTCGACTGGTGTATGGGACCGGTTTCAATCCAGCATCATGAGGAAATTGGGGAGCTACAATGAGTAGCGTAATCCGGTCGTGAAAACTAGCAATGGCTGGGGGTTCGTCGTGCTGACCACACGTCACCCTATATCTGGTTGGATGATCGTTTACCTCTGCTTAGGCATGTGAACGTGAGGCCAGCAGCCAGCTAGTCGGCTTTGGCTCTCAGAGGGCTGTTACGTCATGGATTATTATTATTATTATTTCACAGACTGGTACTTTCTCTTATATGATTACCACACTGCATTTCATAATTTAATTAAAACTCAATGATACAGAATATCGTGTTTGGACTGGGAAGGCTGGAATAACAGCTAGCAAAATTAAATATTTCCATTCTTGTACATGAACTGGAACTGTGTTCTGTACTTGACAAAACACTAAACACTTTCAATGTAAAATATAAAAAATGTATTTTACATGAGATGTCACAGGATATACCAATTATTAGTCCTGCGACCCAGGATATGATTAAAAATAAAAGTAATAAAAATCATAGTTACGTTTTTCTTCTCAAATTACTGTGGTTCTCCTTTTCTTCATTTTTATCTGCCTTTGAATTCTTGGAAACAGATGGTTGTATGTCACTATCTTTGTCCACTTTTAGTTTTTTCTTGATTCTGCTTAACTCATCCCTGGAAACCAAGGAACTGTGTTCAGATACAAGGCAAATTAGATGACAGTATGACAAGCGTTACTGAAAATTCGAAGTGCAAAGTATGTCTTATTACTTGAACGTAATGAATCAGTCTTACAGCAATGCAATAACAATACTGATACAGTATGTCACCAATGAATACTTATTTTTAACCTAATATCCCTATGTCATAGGTATGTGTAGGCTTATGGTATTAACACATAAATGTGTCTGTCCCCTAATATAACTTCTGAATCAACAGATAGATTTTAATGACACCATGCCATTAATGCCAACAAATTTCAAACTTGACCACCCAAGTGACTATCAGCTTCTCAAGGTACTTTGTTACCTATCTCCATGAGATGCATTGCTTCCTCTATGTATAACTTCATCTTCACTGAGGGCAGGATCACTGTCACTCGAACCCAATGTCCACTTATTGATCTCCTTGATTTCCTCTTCTGTTTCAATCGCTGGCACTGCACTGAGTCCAGGATCCTTCAGAATGTCATGTGTTGATTTGCTGCGCCCTGAGTATTTCCTGTTCGCTTCACTGGTTTCCTCTTCATCCTCCTCTGCTTCTTCACCAAATGACAATAACTTGAAATTTCTAAGAAGAAAACATTGTAAACATGTGTCATGGTGGCAGAGGCATAATACAATGTAACACAAGTCCAAGATGTATTTTTGTTTCTTCATTTATACAATGATGCTTTGCTTTATTTATTGAAACATAAAATGAACAATTCTTCCTAATTTAGTATTTAGTGTGAAGGTACCTTATAATCATAAACAAAGGAAAAAAAGATCGTAAAATCGTATATAACATGGACAAATGTTTTAATCCCCAGTAGTACAAGTATTCAATGCTTTTAGTGCAGGAGGTTTGGTGATCATAGTATGAGCATGGTAGTTAAACTGAATATGTTATTCAGAAATACATAGTTACTGGAGGATGAATAAAGCTCAGTATTAAAACTGGTGGGAGGGGATTATATTTAATTCAGTAGTTTACCAAGCCATATCTATTTTTGATAAACAATACACTTTTTGTTTACTTTATGTTTACACTCTGAATACCAAAAACTGTTGCCTACAGAATGATAGGCACAAGAGAATAAAACTTTGTAGTTTCAGAAGCCATCTCAAAATCAAAATGAGTGTCACTTGTGTTTATTTCTAAATCAGTACATGAGTCTGAGTCACAAATTGAAGAAGTGTCTAAAAAAGTAAGCAGCATGTATCTCCACAAGAGCAGTATTAAAGAAACAAGAATGGCTGGCACCATTTCACCTTGGTAAGTACATTCTGATGTGCATTTGGCACAGGGCAGCAAAGAAGTTTACAATCCATGTAAAAGTGTAAAATGGGAAATTATAGGGTTATGAATGATAAATGTGCTTTAAGCTACCACTGTATGTGTTTCAAGGGACCAAGGAAAATTACATATAAAATATCAGTCAGGAAAAATTATTGGAGCAGTACACTGTCCAGGCAAAGATTAGAACCTGAAATTTCTCATATATAAAGCACTAGGGACAGCCACTGTGACATTCAAACCAAGATACTCATACATTATCACAGGTTCAAACTAGCTAAAATCTATCTACTTAGCTTCAATATGGAAAATATTCCTAATCGCCCCTTAAAAATTAAAATTTATGCATCCCCAAATAATAAACACTTCATGCAAATCCATAGAATTGCTAAACTGAACATATCACACAAATGCTTTTCAAAATAGAGCAATAAATAACTGTCTTACAGTCAAAGAGAATTCATATCAGACCACTTCAATATAACTAATAGTTCCATGCAAGGGTTCACACCTTACACAAACTCTGTTTCTCCCAAATGTTTTTAACTGAATTTTTATAGGAGAAAATATCTGGTGTCTAATATGGAATTAACTCCTTAAACTGGTTAAAATTAAATATTCCATCCCTCCAGGTACACATATCATCAAAGAAAATGAAGCTAAAAATAATCACAATTATAATTCTGCTGTTCAATATACAATACTCTATCATCTCCAATGATTATTTATAACATAAAAATTTAAATAAATATTATTTGTTATTCATCAGACAAAGTTATAAGATATAGTATGATGACTATAGTTCATGAACAGAGAGATATGGAAGGCAGAGACTATGGCCTGATTTAAAGAAGTATTTAGGAATATTCTGCAGAGAAACTGAGGAAAATAATTAAAACCCTGTCAGTGTAGACACTCCCTTGCTAGGATATGAAATGTGTACCTCCTGAATGTAAGTCAGATGCATTAGCTCTGTGCTAACCTATTTTTATCGCTATGAAAAGATGTTATTATCCTGCATATGAATTTAAGATAAACTTTCTTTGTTTTGGATCAATACAGTACAGATTTAAGTTCTTTGTTGATAAAGTAAAGTAAAGTAAAGTTTGTCCCACTATACGCCATGTAGGCGCTTGGGGTGAGTGGAGGTATAGCTCCTCTCTTCCTTGACCTCGGCACTAGATGGGGGTGAGTGGTCGGCATCACGCCCCGGCCGGCTTTACCCCCGGGAAAGGACCCCGGTACCCATTGTATAGGAGGCTGGGTGAGCCCCAGAGCCGGTCTGGACGCAGAGGCTAGAGGAAAAATCCTCTGCCCCCGTCGGGGATCGAACCCCGGTCGTCCAGTCCGTAGCTAGTCACTATATTGACTGAGCTATCCCGGCTCATAAGTTCTTTGTTGATAGCAGGTTCAAAATCCATGATCAGCTTGGGCCTGAAATAACTTCACTATAGCCCCATTAGCCATTCATTTTTAAAGTTCTTCTCAGCCACACTGGAGGTGGCAGGGACTAAATCTCTACAGTGTACAGCTCCAATAATCATTCCTGTACATGAATGATATCCCTCTTTTATGACATGGAGCACATATAAAATTTTTAAGACATAATGAAAGGAAAACCAAAAGAGAGAGAATAAAAAGAGAGCTAGAGTGAAGCTGAATACTTTGGAAGACAAACTAACAAATAAAAGAATGAGATGGTATACACACATTTCAAAAATGAATAAAGAAAGAGAGAATTCCAAAGCAGGTTCTGAACATGAATGTAAAAGGAAAATCAAACAGCAGAAAATTATACATTTTTCTATGGAACAGGAAGTGTTATGGACAGAAATTTTTGTACATAATAGGATTATTTCAGTAGTTAAAAGAGTAGAGTTTGTCAGTGACAGGATGTCGTGTGTAACTCTAAAGGGTCGTTGGTATGATATCATTGTACTGAATGTGCTTGCCCCAACTGAGGATAAAGATGATGACATGAAGAAAACTTTTATGGAAAGCTAAAACAGGTATTTGACCAGTTCCCTAGGTATTATATGAAAATTTTGCTAGGAGATTTCAATGCAAAGGCAGGGAGGGAAGACATTTTTAAACTGATTATTGGTAAGGAAAGTGTACATGAAGTTAGTAATGATAATGGGGTCAGAGCAGTATATTTTGCAACTTCAAAAAAATCTAATTGTCAAAGGCACAACTTTCCCTCACCGTGACATTCATAAACATACTTGGACTTCTCCTGACAGTGTCACACACAATCTAAAACATCATATTTAATTGACAAAAGATGGCACTCCAATAGATTAGACATCTGATCCTTCAGAGAAACTGATTATGATACTGACCATTACCTGATAGTGGCAAAATTAAGGGAGAGATTTTCAGTAAGTAAACAAGCAAGGCAAAAGTTTGATTTATAAAGATTTTATGTGATGAAACTCAAATGATGTAGAACTCAAAGGAAAGTACTGCGTAGAAATCTCCCATAGATTTGGAGCTTTACAGAACTTAGGTGACAGTTTGTATATTAATAGTGCTTAGGAAAATATTACGGACAATATCAAGACCTCAGCAAAGGAAAATCTAAAATATCACAAACTAAAGCATAGGAAACCATGGTTTGTTGATGAGTGCTCAAAATTAATAGACAAATGGAAGAAGGATAATTTACAATGGTTGCAAAATCAAGACAAATCAATGGAGATATTCTACAAAATTTAAGATGTGAAACCAGCAGAACATTCAGGAAGAAGAAAAGGGAATACCTGAAACACAAAATTAATGAACTTGAAACTAATTATAAAAGAAAAATATCAGAGTTATACGGAAGCTTAAATGAATTTAGGAAAGGTTACCAACCTAGAGTTAATATTAGCAAAGATAAGAATCACTATCTGCTCATGAATCCCCACAGGATTCTGAATAAATGGTAAAATTTCTTTAATCAGGTATTAAATGTTCACACGGTTAGTAATATTACCTGGACAGTTATACATATGGCTGAGCCATTATTGCCAGAACCTAGCCTTGTCGAAGTGGAAACTGCTATTAAGAAACTGAAAAGTATAAATCCCCGGGTATTAATCAGATTCTGGTCAAATTGATCAAAGCAGGGGGTGAAACGCTGCATTCCAAGATACACAAACTTATTCGCTCTATATGGAATAAGGAGGAAAAGCCACCAATTCATAAAACAGGGTAACACAACTGATTGTAATAATTATCGAGGAATCTCTCTCTTATCACATGCCTACAAAATTTTATCCAACAATCTTCTGGTGAGGTTGGCTCTATATGTCAATGAAATTATTGGGGATCATCAGTGTGGGTTCAGTCTACAACTGATCAAATTTTCTACATTCGCCAGATACTTGAGAAAAAGTGGGAGTACAATGAGACAGTACATCAACTACTTATAGACTTCAAGAAAGACTATGATTCAGTTACAAGAGAAGCTCTTTACAACATTTTGCTTGAATTTTGGTACCTAAGAAGCCAGTAAGGCTAATTAAAATGTGATTAAGTGAAACCTCTAGCAAAATTCGTGTAGATTAACATTTATCTGATACATTTCCTATTCAGAATGGCCTGAAACACAGAGATGCTCTACTGACACTGCTTTTCAGTTTTGCCTTAGAATATGTCATCAAGAAAGTCCAAGAATATCAAGGCAGTTGGGAACTGAATGGGACACATCAGCTTTTGGTCTATGCTGATGTTATTAATCTTATGGGTGATAACATAAATACTATAAAAACAAACACAGAAACACTCTTAGGAGCTAGTATGGAAGATGGTCTAGAAATAAATGCGGAAAAGACAAAGTATATAATCATATCTTGGCATCAGAATTCAAGACAAAACCAGAATATAAGGACAGCTACTGAATCGTTTAAAACGTAACAAAATTCAAATACTTGGCAATGACACTAATAAGTCAGAACGATGTTTATGATGAAATCAAGAGCAGATTCAATTCAAGGAATGCTTTGTATCATTCGGTCCAAAATCTTTTGTGGTCCCGTGTCATATCAAGAAAACTAAAGGTTAAAATATACTAAAGTGTAGTCTTGCCAGTTGTGCTGTATGGGTGCAAAACTTCGTCTCTCACTTTGAGGGAGGAACATAGACTGAGGGTCTTTCAGAACAGTGTTGGGGAAAATATCTAAACCTATGATGGAGGAAGAGAGATCATGGAGAAAATTGCATAATGAAAAGCTTCACAGCCTGTACTCCTCACTTGATATTATTAGGGTGATTAAATTGAGGATGACGTAGGTGGAACTTGTGGCATACATGGGGGAGGGGAGGGTTGTTTACAAGGTATTGGTTTGGAGGTCTGAAGGGAAGAGACTGCTGGGAAAACCTGGGTATAGATGGGAGGATAACAATAAAATGGACCTTAGGGAGATACAAATCAATAGGGCAAACTGGATGCAACTAGCTGAGGATAGGGTCAAGTGGTGGGCTTTTGTGAGCATGGTGATGAGCCTTAACAGAAACTTAAAATAACCTTACTTGACTCCAGCCCTCTTCTCTTTTTTGCTCTTTCCCACTTTGTCTTCCCTTGTTGTGGGTTGTGTCCTTGGTATAATATCAGGAAAAGGATTATATAGAATTTCTGCTTTTATTATTTTCTGTGGATAGAGTGGTTTATCATCCTGGAAAATGATGAAGCAAACATTTAACTACCAGTTATATTTTACGTATAAAAAGTCACTGCATACATGTATACATTAGATTCAGTAATTTCTAACCTTATCAACAAGCGCATCTTCTAATTTCAGCATGTTGAAAATTGTCTCACCAGTTACTTTACCAAAGACTGTATGCTTGTTCTGCAACTCTGGAGTTGGACCCAATGTGAAGAAAAACTGTGATGCATTATCATCCTGACCTGCATTTGCCATGGCCAGGAGACCTCGTCTGTTAAACCGTAACCGGGAGTGAAACTCATCCTACAATAAGTAATTTCAAGCATGAAGTTCATCTTAATAATATTGAAAAATTCAGTACTTCCCTTAAAAACAACACAATGCATTTCCATTGCAAATACCAACTGGTTAATGTTGTTTAAGGATATATTACACTTTGAAGGGTTAATAACACCAGATGAAGCAGATTAATTTTAACTGGTTTATATCATAAATTTCAATCAGATTTATGCAACTCAATATACAGGTTTGCACATTAAATGTTTACCCATTTGTTTTGAATTTCAAAAATATACCATATAAGAAACAAATTTCAAACTTTGGTGGAAAATGCAGTAGTTCATGAGATATGCTGTAGTTGGCAGCAGAACACTCTGCGACCTGTGATGCAGTTGTAGCAAGTCATTCTGTAAGATGGCAGACAATGGGAGGCTGACTGCCAAACAAAGCAAAAGTTGTGTTGTTTATTGCGGAAAGAAAGAAGAATTTTACTGTAACACAGAGATGTTTTCATGTGCATTTCAGCACCAGGTGGGCTCCTGCTAAACAAACAATACAAAGACTCAAGACAGTTCTAAGAGGAGGATTCAGTGTTGGAACAAAAAAGGCCTCGTGTTCCAAGTGTCGGTACCCCAGAGAACATGGAAGCCTACAGAGTGGCAATGCAGCGAAGCCCGAGTAAGTGGTTTATGAAAGATGGAACTAGGCCACACACAGCTAATGTGGTCCTTGATTCTCTGTATCAAAGCTTTACTCCCAGAGTGATTTGTCATCGTTTTCCTGGATGCCATGATTGTGGACAGGTCTGGCTACCCCACAGCCCAGACATTAATCCATATGATTTCTTTCTGTGGGGCTTCATAAAGGACAAATTGTACTCAAGGAAACCTGGTTCATTAATAGATATCAGAGCCATGACCATCCACCTGTGCCGCACACATTCAGATTACTTGTGCCATGAGGTCTAGAAGTGATATGCAACACTTTTGTAAGAAATATAATTTTGTGCAGGATTTAAAATGGTAAACATTTCATGTGCCACCCTGTAAGTCACTTATATTTGGATGTAAATAACTGTTGTACCATATTTTTCAAAACACTAATATTGAGCAGTTGGGGGCACATTTTTTTAGAGTGGACACTGGTGACTAAAGTGGCCTAATGCAGCTTCTCAGCATGGTGTAAACCCCTACCCTGCAGATCTTACCATATCATTTAGAAATTAGGGATTGAAGTTGAGAAAAATACTTGTATTTACCTGTACTTTATATGCTTTACATTATCAGACCATTTTGAAATAAGAACAAGACTGATTTTCATGTGTAAGTCACAGTAAAATAGAAAATAAGCATTTCAGTAATGCAAACACTGAATTATGGAAGCTTTAATTCAGTATTCATATTCATGTTGTTGGCATTCAGAACAGGAAATCAATAAATGCAGTCTACTGACACATGTGCCCTTTTGCTAAGTTGTGAAGCAAATCTCAGGAGCTGACACTTGCACATGACTTCCACAGGCAATAGCAGATACACAAGCATGAAAATATTCTCAGCTGGAGAACACAGGGCAGTGGAGTGAAAACATCTCTAAGTAATCTAAAAGTAGACATTAGATTCCTCTGTGGTGGTTAGGCAAATGTCATTCAGCAGACACCAGTGTCCATGGCAATCAACATGTTAAAAGGGGAATTATGCTACACTAACTAACTAGATGGCTTACCGAACTCAAAGGTTCATCACCGAATTAACCAAAGCCCTCCACCGGACCTCTTGTCCTATCCATGCGCTCTATATGCCCCTCCATCTCATTCTTCTCAACTTAATCACCCTGACAATATTCGGGGAGGAGTACAGATTTTTAAGCTCATCATTATGCAGTTATGCTATACACAAGTGATCAAAAACTAACAGCCAACAAGAATTCAATATTCAAATACCAGAATGAAAGTTTAACAAGAAAATGTTGAAAACTACAGTCTATACAAATTAACATAATTAGCTGGTACCTCCTCACCAAGAATATCCATGTGAAAAGCAGATTTTTGTTACAGGTAATGTATCTATTTAAGGAAGTACTAGGAGGCTGGAGAAAGTTGCATAAGTTGTACTAAGAAAAGAAGAAAACCAAACAGACATCTATTCTATCATTTTTAAAGCAATAAATTTTCTTTCTTTTTCTTAAGCATTATCATCTTAAACATTATACAATTTTCAATATGTAAATTTCATAAAATAAAACATTTTTCAAGTATTTTGTGTTGTTTACTGAAAATCTTGGAACGGAACCTAATGTATTTACATATGTTCCCATTAAATTTTTGCTTCAATTTACACCGCTTCATTTTACGCCTGAAATCTCAGGAGCCTAACACCGGCATAAACCGAGTCCTACCTGTATATTTCTTATTTTATTTTACACTTTATCACTTTTATGTCTTGTATAAGACCAATCTCTGTAAAGAAATTTCATATTGTTATTAAAAGGTCTTATTCTGATCTGATTACTGTTCACTCATGTATGTCTAATATTTATTATCACTGATCATTCATGGACACTTTTTGTTTTCACATCTGAGAGAAGAAAGCACAGGTCAAAGTTATGAATGACATGAGAATAGGAGAGGTTCCCACTAGTTTTAAAGTAAACTTCCTTGATTAGCACCTTGAATGGGTGTCCATAGATAGATTCTCCTCCAGTGCCAGTGCCAGTTCTGTCTCCACCTTGAATGATGAAACCTTTCACAACTCTGTGAAATATTGTGTCATTGTAGTATCCCTCCATGCATAACTGGACAAAGTTACGGCATGCTTTAGGCGTTTCCTTTGACCACAATTCTAAATCAATATCACCAACTGTTGTTTTCAGCAACACCTGTAAAGAAATCAATATCTGTTTTCTGTTTCTTAGTTTATGTAAAGATATTCTTAACTGAGTCATATGGGAGGATAATTTTTGAAGTGGCAATGGCCAAAGTCAAGGCAATATCCCAGACCCTGCCTGGAAAGACTGAGAAAGCCAAGAAAAACCTTAGCTAAGATAGAGGCTTCTAAGTTAACATGTAGCACACAAGGGGATGAGAAATGTATATAAAATTTTAAATAAGTGAATGGAAGGAAAACAGATAAATGTATTTTGATGGTTTGATCAGCATTCAAGTAACTCAAGTAGCCACTTGATCAGTTGAAAAACCATAAGCTTTTCAATAAATATTCTACATCAGCATGTTAGACAATTAGTTAAGTTAAACAGACGTTTGTGCTTCAACTTGAATTGGCCAACATTCATCAAGTTCTCACGCCTTGTTATTCTTTTCTGAAGTGTTACAGCTCACCATGATGACGCCCGAGAGCTCGTACCTCCAAAACATGAAACAGCAGTTTCAGAGGCTCAACCATGATATTCTGTACAACGAACCAGCACTGCTTTATATGCCATCATCAACTACTATAAGGATTTGGCCTATTGACCCGTTCCGGGACAGTTGATCGAGGCAACTTGTCCTTATTAGTCTTGTAGGGTGTATTTGAGTAGAGTGACAAGCCAAAACCAACCAACCAACCAAAAAACTAACTAAGGGCGGAGTCCTGCACAAGTGTAAGACATCGTCCCTTGCTAGGTAACACCATTCCTGCATATGAAATGCATTGCTGGAAATGGTAAACAGAGTCTTAAAACCAAAACGGGAGTTTTCTTATGATAAAGGGGGTTTTGTTGTGGCGGGAGCCTCGACTATTCAACCTGGGGTCTGTTGCTGCTGATGAGATGTTATCCCATCAGGCAACATGTTCTTCATGCAAAGGATTTTGGTTGGTTGGTTGGTTCTCTGGGGTTTGAACACAGAGCGGGTGGGGCCTCTGCGACTTGGTGGGGGGGGATTTCACTTCAGCTGAAGGCCTCCGTGATTGGGGGTAGCAGGCCGTGCCCCTTTTGAACTATACCCTGGCATTCCTTGGGTAACCTCTGTCAGCCCTCCGGAGGCACAGGTGCCTCCCGAGTTGCCGGACTAAGGGGTTCCCCACACAAGCTAACTTTGAGTCAATGCTCTGTCAGTGCTCTGATGTTGTCGGCAGAGAGCGGAATCCCCAAGCCAACCAACCAAAAAGCTAAAGGCGGAGTCCTGAGCAAGCGCAAGACATCTTCCCTTCCTAGGTAACACCATTCCTGCGTACGAAACACATTGCTGGAAATGGTAAACAGGGCCTTATAGCTAAAACGTGAATTTTGCTTACGCTAACGGGGTTCTGTCGTGGCGGGAGCCTCGACCATTCAAACTAGGGGTCTGTTGCTGCTGATGGGAGGTTATCCCGTCAAGCAACTTGTCCAAAAAATTTGGTTGGTTGGTTGGTTCTATGGAGTTTGAACCCAGAGAGGGAAGGGCCGCTTCGGCTGAAGGCCCCTGCGGCTTGGGGGAGGGGGAAGATCACTTAAGCTGAAGGCCACCGTGATCGGGGGTGGCGGGCCGTGTCCCTATTGAATTATACCCTGGCACTCGCCTTACAACTGAAAACGGAAAACCTCAGTCATATTGATCCCCAAGCCACTGCCTCTGCACAATTTATACTCAATCCTGATTTGTTTGCTAGAGCCATCTAGTAGAAAATCAGGAGAGACATAGGTGAGAAATGGCGGTTGAATTTTGCTTACGAAACATCTCGTAACATGTATAAAATGAAGCTTTCGCGGTGACTGAAGTTGAAGAAATATTCTTGGGTTACAAGCCGCGTCAGGTGGCTGAATGGTGAATAACCCATACCTTCCCAGGTGCGTACCGTATTCCTTGCGAGTGCGGAAAGGTGTACGTGAGGCACACAGGAAGATCCATTGAGACCAGGTGCAAAGAACACATCCGTCTCTAACAACCCGAAAAGTCCACAGTAGCGGAACATTGTGTAAATACAGAGCACCGCATCGACTTCAGCCGGATCTCGGTGTTGGACAAGGCATCAGGATATATGGACCGGCTCATAGAAGAGGCAATTGAGATCCGGCTGCACGAAAACAACTTCAATAGGGAGATGGTTTCACTCTCAGCCGGGCCTGGTATCCTGACAAAACTGCTGTCCGCCCGGACTTGACCTCGACTGCCAGTTCCTATTGGTCAGCGCGAAACAAAGCAACGGAAGGGTCACCAGCAATAATACCTGCCGTCCACCGCCAGTTCCCATCGGCGAGCGCGCTACAAAGGACCAGATTTTTGTTACGCAGCAGCCCTGAGGATGAGAGCAGAGATTGCTCTCGAAACGTTGGCAGAAGATATGGTTTATTCATCATTCAGCCACCTGACGCGGCTTGTAACCCGAGAATCTTTCATCATCTCGTATAATGCTCGTAAGGTTATTTTACATGCCGTAAGTCTACATGGAACCGCCGGCTTTACATTGTGCTACGGATTTTTATCACCCTTAAAAATCCATCGGCCGTGTTTGAACCCGCTAACCTTGGGTCCAGTGGCGAGCACGGTAACCACTGGTCCACCGAGGCCAATATTTCTGTTGGTGTGTAAGAAACACCATAATTTCAGACATAAATATTCACTATGTTTACATCACAAACCTTCTGTGAAAAAGATGCAGGGCGATGTTAAGGGGAATTTCTGAAAAAGAAACTGTCTTGTGTACTAACAAATAAGGCATATTACAAACAGCATACAAAAACTGCCGAAGTGGCCATATTCTCTCTTTCTCTCTTTTTTCTGCACCTCCTACCACTGTATTCACCACTCTACAAATCAAATAAGCTGCAGTTCTATCAACTAATTTTCTACACAAATCAATTCAATTTGTATTTTGCACTGAATGAGTAGTAAATACACAACATGTAAAATTTATCCTCTTGTTGCTAAACAAGAAAACACTAAACAGCTATCTTCAAAACATGCACTAAAAGAAACAAGGAAAAACTATTATTCAAATACTTCAAAATAATGAACTATGAACTATAACACATCACCCCCACAATTCTTTGCATTTTCCACATACACAAATCTTACTAGCTGACCTAGAAACACCTAAAACTGAGCTACACTAATCAAAGCCAACCCTAGCTAATAAAATTGACAACTAAACAGACTATCTCACTTCCAGTACCTGACATGTTGTTATCACTGTGTGTAAGAAATTAAAAAGTAGAAGTTTCAAATACTCTCCAGTGGCATAACACACATATTAAATTTCACAAACATCATCCCACCATTCTCTCCTTTTTAAACATGTACAGACAACTATCAAAGGCAATGATATCATAAGTGATGACAGAGATGTCATGCACATGCACAGAGGGGCATGGGTAATGAATGGCATTATCATCCCACCTCAAGACTTTAAGCATCCATCACATTTGTATTACCAATTGTAGGAATCTTAAAACTTTGCATACCGTGCAGTGTATTAGAACATAAAATAAGTAAACAAACTATTAACACTATAAAAAAGACACTAGTGCCAAATGCGTTTCAACCTCAAGAGGTCATCATCAGTGGCAACAGGGAAATTAATTCATTTAATCAAAATGGTTTAAAATTGGTTCAAAAATGGTTTAGAAAACACCCACGGTTTGTTGGAGTTCACAGGTACGGATGACGCAACCACGGCTCGCCGCAGACCAGCTACGGCCACCAGACCATTGGATCAATAGCTAAGTGCAGAGTACAACTCCTGTGAAACCAGCTTCTAGTGTAGTGTTGCTTGATATGGTTTTTGTAAAATACTCTACTCGATGATTTGTTTTCTAAACTATTTTTAAACCAATTTTAAATCATTTTGATTAAATTAATTAATTTTCCTGTTGCCACTGATGATGATCGCTTGAGGTTGAAACGCGTTTGGCACTAGTGTCTTTTTTATAGTGTTAATTGTTTGTTTGCTTACTTTATGTTCCAATTGTATGAAGTTCAAAGGTATGAGCAGACTAGCCTCTAATAGCATAACCTACATACAGTGGGTAAAAGATGTATTTAAACACCCTGTTTTGTTACAGTAACTTTACACAAAGAAGAACATTGCTACAAAGTACTTTGTTCAATATCTTATTACAAATGAAAACAATGTGTTCTGACAGATATCATAACACAACAAAAACACATATTTCATGGTCAAATAAGTATTTGTAAATGAGAAAAGTTAAATAAAAACAATCCATTTGGTAAACATACGAGGTGCGATCGGAAAGTTTCAAGACTGCGCCAATAAAAATAAAAAATAAAACCCGTACACTTATCTCAGGTATTAAATTCATCCATCACCCTCGAAGTAGTTCCCCTGGGAGTGAACACAACGATCCCAGCGCCGCTGCCAAGCCTGGAAGCATCCCTGGAAATCTTTCTTTGTCAGCCTGTCAAGCACCATCTGCGATTCTGCCTGAATCTCTTCTATCGTCTCAAATCTCATTCCCTTTAGCTGAATTTTCATCTTTGGGAAGAGGAAGAAGTCACACGGAGCTTAAAAAGGAAGTTGGGGTCGGTTCTTGCAAGATCTTGGAGCTCCTGACAAACGAGAAGTCGATTCTGCTTCTAGTCCTCTGACAGGATGCGTCGCAGAATGCCTCACAAAAGTTTGTGCACGACCCATTTCGAAGTATTTCCCCAAATGCTTGCTTTAGCATTTCATAGGTTTCCGTAGCGGTTTTGGCGAGTCTTTGGCAAAATTTGATGCACACGCCATTCCGAAATCGCAGGAGGGTCGGTGTAATGCACTACCAAAACGCCCGTAACTAAGAAACAAATGCTAATTCGATGATGCCGGCTGGCACACTGATTCACTATGAATGTAGGCCGCACCCCCTAGCGTCAGAAGCTCGTACTACATCCGGTTCGCCCTCTATTGACACAGTCTTGAAACTTTCCGATCGCACCTCGTACTGTTTGCATCATTTATGGCTTACAATCTTCTTGACATTGATTCTACTAATTTTTTTAGTTGTATTTGTAAGAATGTTTAGCCATTCTTTAGATATTACCCTCTTTAAATCACTTTTGCCAGAAATTCTTCTTTCCCTCAACTCTAAATCCAGCAGATGCCATAGATTCTCAAAGGATTAATGTATGGTGACTGCGGAAGAGAGATGAACCTTCTGTGAACATTATACAGGAACAATTCTGTTGTTTCTTTTGGTGGTGTGAGCACTCGTAAAAGGTTCCTTTAGTACCTGTTTTATAATCTGTCATTGCTCTCTGGAAGCAAGTATTTTTGGATGGCCTGGTTGGTGTTTGTTCTCCGTGATACTAGCTTCTTTGTATCTTTTAATAACATATACTACACTGTTGAAAAACTCAGGTTCAATGTTTTACCAATTTAATGATAACTTTGACCTTTACTGCATAATAAAACAATTTTATCTTGCACACACACATTTCTTAGGAGACATGATTACCCAGCTGGGTGTTATCATAAACTGAATCAAAGCTTCTTGCTAGGACATCATTGTAAACACTTTGTTAACGTTTCTGCTATTTACATTTCAATGTGGACTAACATATATTTATTAGAGGCCTTGAAATTGGAATTCCTAGCGTGCAAATACTTATTTGACCATGGAATTTGTTTTTTTGTTGCGCTACTTTTTTGGTGTTCATTTATTTAGATTTGTCAGAATATGTTGTTTTCATTTGACATAAGCTATTGAATAAAGTATTTTGTAGCAATATTCTTTTGTTTGTGTAAAGTTACTACAACAAAACAGGGTGTGCAAATGCTTCTTTTTCCACTGTATATAATTACATGACATTCCAATTAACCATTCTCAAGTTACATGGCAGAACACATCATCTGTAGGACCATTCACAGATGGCAGCATGACCTCTTCAACTGAAAAAACATGACAGACAAAAATGAACAAGCCCACAAAGTGTTCTTTGCTTATACTAAAGCATAAAGACCATTATACTGATAATATTTGGTTCCAAGACATGTAACCACACTGGATGGATCTAATGTCATACAACTGAATACCCATAAGAGCTGATGTGCCTCTAAATTCTCTCTTTAACATGTAACTGAAGGAAATGATATTCTGAGGGTTGGTGCCCAAGTCACAAGAATGGAGTTGTGCACACCTGTAGCCTCTTCAGAAAGTAATGCATACAGTACATGTCAAACTTGCAGTTGAGAACCTTCTGGTTTGTACTTAAGGCTAGCAGTCAAAAATAGGACACTGAAAAGTGATGCAGAATCATGTTCTCTTCAAAAACTATTAACATAAAGTATCTTATAGCAAAGGCAACCATCTTTATGATTATAACTTTACATTTCAAGTATGTAATACAAAAAGTTTTTATGACTATATGTGTTTCATATATTATAATTTTTGCAATGTAATAAGCACACCAATACAAACCACTAAATAATTGTATCATAACAGGAAATTACTACAAATATATGTAGACATAACAGTGTAAATCTGTATTATATTATATTAATACTAACATGTCATTTACGTGTATTGGGATTGTATCTAATGGTAGAGAAAATAAATGCTATTATACTTGATATTAAGGAATGGACTTCACAGGATTTAAAATTATGATCGGAGGAATCAAGCCAAATTTTCAATATTTCGTACCTAACCTAGAACAAATATTGCACGCATATAAAAGAACTGATGTATTATATACATACCTTCCCATTTGTAGGGGGCTCTTGTATGTATATGTTACTCATTTCTTTTTCAAATTACGAGCAACTGTTACCCACATTAACTCGTTACTGACATATTTATCTTTACAGTCTTCAAAACTTACTATTGCACCCTCTATAGATCATTCTATATCATTGTTTTCCTGGTCGATCAATCGACATACCATTCTCCTGCAAAATTTACCTCTTTACTACACTATTGCATTTAAATGATAATAGTGCAACACTTGAAGCACTCCTTATAAATTCACGAGAAACAATTATACAACAATTATATTACTGCTGAATTTCCCATATAAAATTAATGCTGCGTAATTTCGAATGCAAGTGTAAAGCCATGTACTAATACGTAATCAATTGGTCACACTGATGGGTGAGTATAGGTCAGCTGTTGTGGTGCAGATTCATCACCAAAACAAAGGCATAGGGCAGTAGGAAAGTAGTCGACTGAGGATTGAGGAAAGGAACCGGCGTTTGCAGCCACAAATTAATTTCGGTATTATGGCAGACAGAGATGAATTGTTATCTCAGTTTACGGATGTGACGGGTACAGATGCCGATAGAGCAAAATTCTACCTTGAATCATCGGCTTGGCAGCTGGAAGTGAGTATGCACATATTGATAGTTGTAAATTACGAAATATGTAACATTTAACGGACAGCTGGCTGATGGTACTGTAATTCTATTTTATTATATTCTGTTCTATTCTATTCTATTCACTGTATGTATTCATTGCTGCCAACAGTGCCGATTGCTGAATTATAAATTGGTTTGTGATATTATTAACTCCCCGTCAACAATCGTACAGTGTTATGGCATTTTAATAATTCATGTAAATTCTTTATTAAAAATAATCATGGTAATAGTTCTCTGTTGTGTCATATAGTGGAACCCCTTTTTTATATTCATCCCATTTTAGTGGTCTGGCAGCATACTATTAAACAGACATCAGCATTTTCCACTTATCGCTAAATAACCCTAAGGGGATACCAGAAACTAAATTGTTATCCTCAAAAGGAACTTTATAAAACAAGGTTTTATACTGTCTTCGTTGTCTTGAGGCAACCTCTTTGGTTAGAGGATGGGTCTGTCCATTGCCAAGATCATGGCCTTTCACTGTTTTTTATGTACATGTTTTCATGGTATTTACAATCTACAAAATGCCCACAAAATATATAATATGCAGATTAATTTGTTCTCAGGATTACAAAGTCCTTGGACTGGTTCATTGACTGCAGTTAGCTCTTTCTAATGGACCCAACTGATTAGGTGCCCATTCCTGTTTCACCTGAGGAAGGAAACAGATCCAGTTTCTGAAACAATGTGTTCTTTTGAGTACCAGATAATGGACAAAGTCCAAGAATTTAGCAATCCCGAGTGAAACACACTGTCGCCAGAACCATTTAAAATTGAGATTAATTTGTTATATTAAATATATGCAGGACCTCTGCTAATCCAGGCTTTGTGAAGTAGATAATGCCTTATCCTACTTATCTTATCTTGAAACCTTGCTTACTGTGCAGTGTATTAATATATAAAATCATGCATTCAAACAAAACTGCATACACTTGAAAAGACACTTAGTGCCAAATGTGTTTCAACCTCAAGAGGTCATCATCAGTGGCAAACAAATTAATTCATATGAAATCGTACAATTCATAAGACAATGGTTTGTTATAAAGCATAATAGGTTGCACTTTACAAAACCATACTTTATGTAATACCACACTGGACATTAATTGCACAAGAGTTGGTGTATTATCTAAACTGAGTATTTAGCTTTATGTCCACTGGCCTGATTTCTGTTGTTGGTCTCCAGTGAGCCGTGGTTGCGTTGTCTGTGCCTGTGAACTTCAACGTTGTGTGGGTATTACTTATCTTATGCTATAACTTCAGCTTGGGGAGCCAGAGTAGCTCAGGCAGTACAGTGACTGACTATGGACTAGACAACGGGTTCAATCCCTTACAGGGGCAGAGGATATTCTTCTGCTTCCAGACTGGCTCTAATGGGTACCAGGGTCCTTTCCCAGGGTTAAAGTGCTGCCAGGGCTGACTACTTACCCCTGCCTAGTGCTGAGGTTAAGAATAAATAGGAGCTCTACTTACTCTCCCCCAAAGCACACATATGGTGTATAGTGGGACAGCTTTACTTTACTATACTATAAATTGATCAGCTGTAAACTTCAACAAGCTACATGCAAATTGCAGACTGGTGTTTGCCCCAGAAAATTCCCAGAGGTATGGCGAATTTTGTAATTCAAGCTAAAACCTTGGAATGTGTCTGTATCTTCACACTGTCCTTACTGTTAACTGGTGCATGGTGCATAACAAAATTCTGTATATAATATAGGATTTATAGTTTAAGGTATCCCCTTGGTGTAAGTATATTTCCTTAATGTGTGGACTAGCATCTTGCTTACCAATTAAAATGTTTATATCTGCTTGTAAAGAATTTAGAAATTCAGTCCCTAAGAGCTCAAAAATAATGTTTGAAAGTTTACTTATAAAATATTCCATTTCAATTTCATAGGTTGCATTGGCTAGTTTTTATGAAAATGATGCTGAAGATAATCCAGTTGAGGAAGAGCAGGAAGAACCACAAGCTGTTGAAGAACTTCCTGAACGACCACCTGAGCCAGATCCAAAACCTAAATCTCGAGGTGCATTTTCTTCAAGGTATCTATTCGGATTTGATAGTTACGTATTGTTTGCATCATTTATGGCTTACAATCTTCTTGGCATTGATTCTACTAATTTTTTAGTTGTATATGTAGGAATTTTTAGCCATTCTTTAGATATTACCCTCTTTAAATCACTTTTGCCAGAAATTTTTCTTTCCCTCAACTCTAAATCCAGCAGATGCCATAGATTCTCAAAGGATTAATGTATGGTGACTGCGGAAGAGAGATGAACCTTCTGTGAACATTATACAGGAACCATTCTGTTGTTTCGTACCTCAGCCAGTAAAGTGACTGTTAGTAGCAGGAGGAGGCATTTCTTTATCATCATCATATCCAGATATGCACTAAGGCCTGTCCATAAATGGCTAGAGCATGAAACTGGATGCTTGCCACTTTACCTCCATTTCCCCATATGTCATTATAGTGTGATGCTGAAACATGGTGATAATCTTACCTTTTATATAGTAATATCAGGGCTGTGGAGAGAGTCAGAGTCGTGGAGTCGGAAGAAATTTTAGGTGGAGTCGGCAAAAATGTACCGACTCCGACCTCAATATAAAATCTTAAGAAAATACTATTTTAACACTTTTGCTTCTGTGTGAGCTGCCGGCAGCCTCGTGCTTAGGGAGATTCAATGATGCATTGAGCCACATCTGGGAATAATGCTTTGTTACTTTGACTCTGGTACCTTAAGAATATAAACTGTCTACAAATCAACTGATTTCTGCAATAACCATTAGACTTATATTTAAATATAGGTTACAAGTCTAAAAAGTAGTCTGATGATTCACGTGGAGGTGATGGTACCAATTACCATTTTAGTAGCTTTACCATTGTTAATACATATTGAGCTTTTATGAAGGAGCCGGAGTTGGAGGTTTTAGTACCGACTCCACAGCCCTGAGTAATATATATATATATATATATATCAGTATTAAATGCTTACATTGACAGCTCTGATGTTGAGACTTCTTCCCTTATACTTATGTATGAAGTATGTAAAGTGCCAAAATTTATTTTTTGACTGGTGACAGGCACTTGTGACTAGCTGAGTGACTGTTTGTTTCTTAAGAAAGACTGCTTCATGGAGTTTGATAGCGATGGATGTGTTGACTTACAGATGTTAGAATAGTTGCATTTGCACTCCTTCCACTTTACACAACTGTGTTGTTTGTGAAATTGTTATCTGGTGACTTACAGCAGGTTTGGGACTGTGGCTGGTCTGAATAGAAATGATGGGAGCTCAGATGAGGAAGAAGGTCAGGCATTCTATGCTGGAGGTTCAGAATACAGTGGACAGCAGGTCATTGGACCAGGGAAGAAGAAAAAAGACATAGTATCCGAGATGTTCAAATCTGTGCAGGAGTAAGTTACTTTCATCATAAGCAGAAACTTTCAGATCCTGCTTTTGTTTGATACTCTGCTGGACACAAAGATTCATGTCTGCTTGTCTAGAACAAGTAAAAAATCAAATATGAACAGAGAATCCATGTTCTTTATTTGTAGTAATACAAAAATTATAGTCACACTTAATGTAGAGTTTTCTGGATGAGAAATTATTGTCAGTTGGCTGTCTGGAAAATAATAAACTGAACATAAGTAGAGAAACTGGGATTGACTTTGGTCAGAGATGTGAATGTGAAAGTTTGTGCCAAAATGGTACTGAAAGAACTGAGTTATGAGTAAAAAATGTGTGGAAACAAAATTTGCATAAGACACTGACTTTCTTGCTTTATTTTCTTCCCTTTATCCTTTCTTAAAAAAAGAATGATAATGGTTGTTAATTGTCAGATTTTGTACATTATTACACTTGGAAGCATGGTTGTCAAGCAGTAAACAACATTATGTTTTATTTATGTTGTTTTTAAAGACTTACAAATTAATGTCTTACCAAAGTGATAACTTGTAATAAAGTGGTTAATGCTTTTATACAGGCAAGGAGCTGAGGTGGTTGATCCTCAAAATTCCAGCCAAGCCAAACACAACAGTTTTAGTGGTACTGGATATCGATTGGGGCAGTCTAGTAATGATAGTGAAGGTATGTTTTATTTCAAAGTATGTAACACATTATATTAACTTGGTACACTGGATTCCTACTGTAGTTCAAAGCAACACACAACCTGTTAATTCCAAATTTGTACTACTGGCATAGCATTTTTGAAAGTCATTAATATAGTTTTGATGTGTAGACTTTGGACATTATTGCAGTTGAATACCAGTCTGTTTTCTGAGAATAATTTAATGTTCAACTAAGGATAAAGTTTTAGGCCTCACTGTTTTTATTCTCATTATTTTGGGTGTCTCAAGAAACAGCATAATATAGGAAGACAATGTAAGACTTGAGGTTCTCACAGCGGTGAGTATGAAGATTTCCGTCTTCTGGGTTGTTGCGCTGTGTAGTCTGGCCGATGTTAACCAACGTTTCAGAGGTCATACTGCCTCCGTCATCTCTCTCTACTTTCTCTCCCACTCTCGCCCCCAGAACCAACCAGACCACTATCATAGCCCTTTTCAGGGCCCAGATCCATCCAACCAAACTCAACCTTTCTCTCTCTACTTTCTCTCCCTCTCCCACTCTCGCCCACATGCTACCATTGGTCCACTCCCATGCCTGCTCCCATTGGCTCGGGGCAGGCTACACCTTTCACTTTCCGGCCTATAAACCTAGCACCTCACACCCTATTGGCATATTCATCGCCCTGATGACGGAGGCAGTATGACCTCTGAAACGTTGGTTAACTTCGACCAGACTACACAGCGCAACAACCCAGAAGATGGAAATCTTCATAGGAAGACAAATTCATGAGTCAGCTTAGGGTCTCCTTACCAGATTCATCAATGGCTTCATAATCAGATTTGCTTGAGGCCACATCTGTAGTACAGAAAACTTTTGCCCAGTGCAATGGTTAGTTTCCTTTAAAATGGTGTGTTAGCCATTCTGCATTGGACAAACTTAATATCATATGGGTTAAATTTGGATATATGAATGTGGCTGTGTAAAGTCTCCCATTAACTTTTACACACATGTATGAATGACCATTCCTATGAAATAAAAACATAATAAAATCATAAACATTAATGACTTTTACACATGATAAACTATATTGTATTATAAATTATATACCTGTGAATGACTGATGAAGAAGACTTCTGTTTCTGATGTTGTTGACGATGTATTTGGAAGCTGAGGGCTTAATTGAGATCATTGGATTATTAGGATCATCAGATAGTTTGATCTCAAACTGTGCTGTATCAAAGGGCGTATGAACATGTACAGTACTAGAGCTTCTTTGGGCAACTGTGTATGGTTAGTTTTTCCACATCACCAAATGATTACTTGTATTTGTTTTGAATCTATATGCAAATCATTGGACAAGAGCTTATTGTATACTTGTTAAAATAACTCAGACCAGCTTCAGTGATGGAGTTCTGTGCTGATTCTGTAAGACTTTATCCTTCTCTTCTACGCATTGTTTGAAAAGCATAAATAAGCCTCCTATCCAATAGGTACTAGGGTCTTTTTTGGGGGGTAAAGTGCAGCTGGGGCTTGACGCTGACCACTCACCCGCATATAGTGCTGAGGTTAAGAATGAGTATGAGCTATACTGCCTCTCCTGCCCAAGTGATTGCATGGCATATAGTGGGACAGCTTTACTTTTTTAAAATAAATTAACAATGAAGAGGTCATGTCTATGTGTACATATGCATGTTTCAACTTTGTAACTCCCTAAAAGAAATCTGGTATTCAAAACCTATATCAGACATAAAGAAGATTTGATTTTGGTTTTTATTGGTCCAGTATAACCTTAAACTCCATGAAGCAAAAGATAGTGTCTTATACAGTCAAGGAACCTAATGGTTCATTACTGTGTTCACAAAGAGTCTGCCACTGCATGCTATCCCTGAGCCAGATGAATGCTGTGTGTGCATTTCCCATAATATTATTCTCCCATGTGTGCCTAGGTTGCATAAGTTGTCTCTTCCCTTCAAAGTTCCCAATGTAAGTTTTGTATGCATTTCTCATCTCCTCTATTATCCTGTTACTTCCTCTCATTTAGGTCCAAATATTCTCCTTAGCATCTTGTTCTCAACCTCCCCCAACCCTTCTTACTTTAAGATGACACACCATATTTCGCAGCCAAAACAAGTTACATTATTGATTTGTAAATTTTAAGTATTTAAATTTTTAGATACCAGATGGGAAAACAAAAAATTCTGAACTGAATGGTACCAATAATTTCTTCATGCATATAATTTTGATTTGTTAGTGCCTTCTCTAAACATTTATATTTGTCACATTTTCAAGGAATTTATTAGATATCTTTATATTATAATTTTGTATTCTGGTGACTACACATCGAGTTTATAATTAGTTGAAGATAACTGTCTTGTGAGATGTTACACTGTGTAGTATGTTGCAACATAACCAACGTTACAGAGGTGCTTGATGCTTCCATCATCAGGGCACAACATCCTTGAAGACTGATCTTCATACTTACCACTGTGAGAACCTGAAATCTCTGGTTTCCTCTGTGTTCACTTCTCGACCAATCTCCTTACTAGCATATGGCTATGCTGTGTTATAAATGTAGTGTTATTTTCTCTGCAAGAATAGTTTGTATTATTATTAAATGAACATCTAGGGCAATGAAATGGGCAGAACTGTAAAGAATGCATAATGGTCACACACTCAGTTTCTTCTTCCCAAGCCATTTTCACCCTACATGGTTCATCTGACAACTAAACCTCTCCATTTATTTGCTTCTTCCCACAGCTCCATCTCAGTTTCTTCCATGTTCTTCCTTCCATGTGACATAACTTCCTAACCAGTCATTTCATATTTACAACCTTCTCTGGGATCTGTCTTCGTTCATTCTTGAAACATGTCCATTCTGTCCCTTTTGGTTTTTCCTTTATTCCTGAAAATAGTCAGGTTGTGAAAAAATGAACTGTACTGAAATTAGAAAACAAAAAACAGTTTCCATTTTGGAAGTTGATGAACAGGACTTCTAGTTTCAGCAAGATGGGGCTATGGCACATGCAGAAAATTCAACAGTGCAGATGGTGAGTGAGTTCTTTGGTGGTTTCTCAATCCCCAGATTTATTGCCACTAGATTTCTATCTTTGAGGGTTTTTTAGGAGAATGTGCACAAAAAGTAACCCACACATATTTGAAGAATTTAAACAAAATATTGAGCTGTACATTTTAAACATAACTACAGAAACTCTTCAACAGGCTGAATCACACATGAGTACAAGAATGAATGCATGCATTGCTGAACACAGTGGACATTTCCAACACTAAGAGAAACACAAAATTCAGAATCAATTTCTGGTAATGTTCAGCTGTTATCGTTTCATTGAAGAAAATGGAAGCATTTGTCCACCACTGAAAGGCTGCATACCATACTCTGACTTTTAATGAGTGCAATGGTCTGTCATGGAAAGTATGCTTATTTTCAGCACTCTGTATTCAACTGTTTTGGCTATTAACATATCCACTTGGGAAACTTTATGTAAAATGCCTGTATCTCCTTGAATGATATGTGTAGACCATCTACAGTATGGTCATTTTTTCCTTGTCAAGTTCCTTGAGATTGTACATGATGTGCACAGTGTGGATGAAGTTTTAAAATATTTGTAATTCACTTTGAAGAGAAAGTTTTCTTAATGACTTTCATGGAAAGTATAACAAAATTTAACAGATATTGCCCAAACTATTATCATTTAACACTAAAGATAAACTGCAGTGGTTTATATCCTCATGTTTCTTGTGTCACGGAAATGGTTAACCATATGAGATACTGTCAGTTTGCTTCACACAGGAGATTCCAAAACTCATTTAGCAAGTTAAATAAGAATGAGATGCCAGGTAGTGTTCGACAGTGAACACTTGTTGCACGTGTAAAAAATGATGTAGGTCTACTTGCACTTCAACTGTTGGAAGACGACTGACAGACTGGTGTGAGCAGGTTAGAACATGATGTGACTTTCGTGGACTCACAGCAGTGTTTGTTTATTAATCCAGTAAAAATGTACTGAATTGCAACCATAAATAAATATTTTAATATGGTTTGTGTGACTTTTCTTTTATCCTCTATCTGTCTTGGTTGATTTCCAAGTTAATGTTCTATACATTAATATTGGTCCATTATGGTAACTTTCAATAAGTCCCCTTAGGAATTTTTTATTTCCAGTCTTGGTTTGTGATACACAGTTCTATGGTTCCATGCACAAAGGTCGTATCTACTCTTGCTCCTCTTTTCCTTCCTTTCTTCCTTTATCCTCATTTTCTTTGTGTGGCATACTATCAGCACACCTCAAAGTGATGACCAGATTTTCAACTTTACAAAATGAAAATGTGTATTTTTTTTTAATTTTTAATAAGTGTAGTGTTCACTTCAGTGAGAATATGACTCACTAATTAATGGAAAACTAACATTTGCATACTTTGTTATGCAGTGTGCAAGAATTATGCATGCATGTGAGAGTTGAACTAATGCTAAAAATTCCCATTATTATTTTACAGTTATTGGGCCACCTTCAAGTTCAAGGCATGATTCTCACACAGAAGTGATTCTGAAGCTTTGGAAGGAAGGTTTTAGCATCAATGATGGAGTAGTGAGAGAATATGCAGATCCAGCTAACAGAGAGTTTTTAGAGTCAGTCCGCAGAGGGTGAGTGTTGTTTAAGTGTTCTTATTGTTTCACATTCCAGACAGTGAATATGCTAGGTGATAAGATGTTTATATTAAGAAAAATGTGTCATTAAGGCATGCATCAGGGTACCATTTTCGGTGTAGAGTCATCTTCTGGATATTGTACTTTGCCAGAGTGGTAAAAGTACCAACATATAAAAGAAATTTACTGCTTTCTTCAGGAGTAAGATGTTTTTGATGGAAACAGAAAGAGTAACTTTTCTTCGGTACTCCATAGGTTTCTAAAATTTCATATGGAGGAGAAATGAAACATCAAAGCATATGAACCAAAAATTACTAGTTTTCTTTGTAGTAAAACAAAAGTATTGGACACACTTTGTAGTCTTAATGGTACAGCAACATGTCAAAGTGATAAAAATTTCAGTTGAACTACTGCCTGCTTCTTCAGTCAAAAAGACATTGAAGAAGGATGTAAGAGGTAATTATTGAGATGTTAGTAATTTTGCCATTTTAATACAGTACAATGCTGAGAAGAGTACAGTGAATATGGATCACTGTGAAAACCTCCAGTCTTATAAGATGATACTTGTTTCATAGTTTATTTAATAAAACTGCTTGGCTGCATAGACTATATAGCATCACAAAGCATTTACAGTGCAGTACATCCACTGATACAGAATAAACCAATGTATCCCCATTGAGATTTCAGTGCAGTCTTCTAAGCTTGCTTTTGCTTATTAATGAAGTGATATAATTTTGTGTGACAGGGAGGTTCCTGTGGAACTAGTCAGAGAAGCAAGGGGCAGTGAAGTGCATCTCAATATGGAAGACCATAGGCATGAAGAATATTTTCCTAGTAAACCTAAAGTAAAGGCATTCTCAGGAAAAGGACATGTGCTTGGAAGGTATGTTAGCAGATATCTGTGTTTGTAACTGTTTAATTATTGCAGTAGTAACCACTGTTGGTTCCTAAATGCCAAATTAACTTTTAGCAATTTTTTTTGTTTCTTACCTATCAACCTGATGAATCATTTATTTATTTAGTACACTATCACTGTTTCTAAAACTGACATATATACATATTTTATTACATTCCATGGATCCATAAGACAGTCAGATGACAATACTATTATATAAATTTCACATAATACAAAGGGTTCACCTAAAGAAATGATAAGTTACAAATAGATTTACCCATTACACACATAAGAAAATTTATCACTTATTTGTAAACAACATAAATTCATTTACAGAGTAAAAGGAGTGTGTAATTAAGTATCTTTTTAATGCTAGTTTAAATTGTGCCTTTTTATTTACAAGACTTATGAGACTTGATGGTAGACTGTTGAAAATTTTGATTCCTGCATAATATGCACTCTTCTGAAAGAATGAGAGGTTGGCAACAAGTCTATGAAACTGATTTTTATTCCTTGTGTTGACACTGTGTACAGCAGAATTAGTTTGAAAAAGTTCTTGGTTATCTACAATAAAGTCTATTAACGAGAATATGTATTCACAGGGAAGAGCTAAGATCTCTAATGTCTTAAATCGACTTCTACACGAATTTCTAGGTTTGACATCAGCCAATAATCTAACACTTTTCTTTTGTAAAATGAATATCTTTTTGCTGTTTGATGAATTATCCCCCAAAATTATTCCATACTTCATTATAGCTTGAAAATAGGTAAAATATACTGATCTCTGTGTGTCAGTGTTGCTGACATGCAACAGAGATCTAATTGTGTAACATGCGCCACTTAACTTAGGTATCAGTTTGTCAATATTATTTGTCCAATTTAGGTGATTATCAATTTGCAAACCCAGGAATTTTGTATTTATTGACTCTTGTGTATACTTCCCATTTTAACCAATACTTAAAGCAAGTTGTGGTGAGTTATTTGTTATAAATTTTATTATATTCCTTTTATCTAGATTTAGGGTCAACTTGTTAGCAGGAAACCATTTACTTATGAGACAGAACTATGTTTGATCTCAAATCTAAAAGTTTGTGACAATGGTGCGTTATTCAAATAAACTATTTTTTGGATGTTTTCCATCGTCTAATAAAATAATAGAATTGAACGACATTTCGGAGATGGGTCTCTATCTCCGTCTTCAGGTATACCTACTCTGTTGGGCCCAATTGATAGAGCTAATCCCTATCTCGTTCAATTTTATTATTTCATTAGACGATGGAAAACATCCAAAAAAAATTTATTTAAACTGTGTTTGATGTGGAACAGAAATCATCATGACACTAAACTAGTTTCACCAACCATTTTTGTGAGATTTATTTTAACATATCTTGCCATCCATTATGAATTCCAAGTAAAAGTAAAGTAAAGTTTGTCCCACTATACGCCATGTAGGCGTTTGGGGTGAGTGGAGGTATAGCTCCTCTCTTCCTTGACCTCGGCACTAGATGGGGGTGAGTGGTCAGCATCACGCCCCGGCCGGCTTTACCCCCGGGAAAGGACCCCGGTACCCATTGTAGAGGAGGCTGGGTGGGCCCCAGAGCCGGTCTGGACGCAGAGGCTAGAGGAAAAATCCTCTGCCCCAGTCGGGGATCGAACCCCGGTCGTCCAGCCCGTAGCTAGTCACTATACTGACTGAGCTATCCCGGCTCATATGAATTCCAAGTAGTCATCCCTAAATTAATATAATTCACTATTACAAACAAATAGATGTTCACCATATAATATCTTCCTTTCCTATTACCGCATTTCGTTGATTTTAAGACCAACTTTTTTTCACATTTTAAAATTTCTGAATTTGGGGTGCATGTATTGTGGGTCCCTTGTCACCACGGCATGGCCTGCCGTAGGTTATGGATGGAGGTGATGAACTCCAGATATGGAGGGTAGCTGCGAATACATTAAATAAGCAACCACGGGCAGCCGACAGGGGGTGGTCCTCCAGTTTGGGGGTTGGGTGTTGGCTAACAATTCCTCAGTGCGAAAATAATCAATTGTTACAATATGTTACACATGGTCACATATTCTTTGAAATTACCTAAGTGCAGGAAAATAGACTTGAGATTTGGCACATGGAATGTAAGGAGTGTGTATAGATCAGGTTCACTGGGAACAGTTGTAAGAGAATGGTATGATATAAAATAGATTTAGTGGGAGTACAGGAGGTCAGATGGGACAGGGGTGGCACTGTACCAGCAGGTGATTATATAATTTTCTATGGAAAGGGGAATGAGAATCATGAATTGCGGACAGGATTTCTTGTGCATAAGAGAATCATAACAGCACTTAAGAGGGTATATAATATTAAGAGGGTGGTTTAGAATGTGCATGCCCCAATGGAGGATAAAACTGATGATACAAAGGATAATTTCTATGAGGAACTGCAACATGTATTCAATCAATTTCAAAAGTACCACATAAAAATTTTGTTAGGAGATTTCAATGCCAAAATAGGTAGAGAAGATATTTTCAAAGCAACAGTTGGGAACGAGAGTTTACAAAAATTCAGTAATAATAATGGAGTTAGAGTAGTAAACTTTGTCACATACAAAAATCTAATTGACAAGAGTATATTGTTTCCACACCTTAGCATTCATAAATTCTCTTGGACATCTCCTGATGGAAAGACACACTCAGTTTGACCACATATTGTTAGATAGGAGACAGCATTCAAGTGTACTTGATGTCCGATCTTTCAGGGGAGCAGACTGTGATACCGATCATTATCTTGTGGTTGCAAAAGTTAAGGAGAGACTGGCAGTGAGTAAATAAGCAACAGAGAAGTTAGATATGGAGAGATTCAGTCTCAAGAAACTAAATGAGGTATAAGGTAAAGAACAGTATCAGGTTCAAATCTCAAAGAGGTTCACAGCTCTAAAAAACTTAGGTGATGATGATGTAGATATCAAAAGAGTTTGGGAGACCATTAGAGTAATTATAAAAATTTCAGCCCAGGAGAGTATAGGTTATTATGAATTGAAGCAGCATAAGCCATGGTTAGATGAAGGGTGTGTGAAACTATTAGATCAAAGGAAACGAGCCAAATTACAGTGATTACTGGAGCCAAGTCAAATAAATGAAGATAATCTGAACACTGTACGATGTGAAGCTAATGAACATTAACTAACTAACTAACTAGATGGCTTACCGAACCCGAAGGTTCATCACCGAATTAACCAAAGTCCTCCACCGGACCCTGTCCTGGGCCAACAAAATCCAGTTTCCTTCAACTCCTATCTCCCATAGATCCCGCCTGAGATTATCCTCTCATCTATGTCTAGGTCTCCCCAGCGGTCTCTTCCCTTCAGGCTTCCCAAATAGTGGACCCAACCAACTAGATGGCTTACCGAACCAGAAGGTTCATCACCGAATTAACCAAAGCCC